GGGTGTGGGTGTGGGGTGTGGGTGTGGGTGGATGTGGGTGTGGGTGTGGGTGTGGGTGTGGGTGGGTGTGGGTGTTGAACTTATCCTAATACCCACACCCACACCCTCAAGCACAAACGATTTACAATCTTCAGTTTCAAATGTTTGTCATTGATTGTTCGTCGTTCTCCTGTAATTTTTTTTTCAAAAAGGTAATAATTTCTTCCAATATTAAGTGGTCCGGATGAGTTGGTGGCAAAGATTTGACGAATATGTCACGCGCTTTTATATAAAACTCCAGTTCTTTTCTGCGATCATCTTTCTTTTCGTACAGTTTAGCTAAATTTGTGTATATAATTCCATAGTTCTCATGATTCAATGGCAAATGTTGTTCGTACATGGTTAAGACTTTTTCGTATAGTTCAATAGCTAAATTAAAATCATTGTTCTCTCGGTGGATATTGGCCATCGTGCGATATACTTCTGCAAGTTCTGGATGATTCGAAGGAAGAATATCGAGAGCTTGCTGGAAATACGCAATTGCTAAGTCAAATTCTCTTCTGTAATAATAAACGTCTCCTATAGTTCGATGAGCTGCTCCTATACGTTGTGGATCGTTTAGTTTGATGCCAATGTCTAGTTCATCTTTGGCATAAACCAAGGCTCCATCAGTATCTCTAAGTTGAAGTGCAATGCCACTCAGACCACGGTAACAAGATGCTTTAACTAAATCCCCAATCGATGGATTCTTGAGCATCTGTTTAAAATGCTGTTTAGCTCTTTCATATTGGCCTTCTCTGTAGAGAAGCCATCCAAGAGACTCAGGGCTATTTCCAACCTCTGTTTGTATTTTAGCGAATAATTCTTTCAGTTCGTATTCATCTTCGCTACAGAGATGTAAAATGGCATTCCACATTTGTTCTTCCTCGTTAAATTGCACTTCTTCAATCTTAAAAATAGCCCCGACCATGATAAGTATTTCATCTTCATTAGGGAAATAACTAAGCCTTTTAACGTTGGCATAGGGACATGTTTTCGTCAGGCGTGTGTCAATATTGAACTGAAATACTATACAAGGGATATCCTTTGCAGGATCCTGTGTTGCTTGAGCGAAGCCGACAGCAACTTCTCGACTGGTAGTTGTACTCAAAAAACTTTGCATTGATAAGAAGTCTCCGACGCTCTGTTGCATGAAGTGCACGTCATTAACTAAGATTGCTTGTCCTCGAAAAACACGAAGAATAGGATCGTTTGTAGAAGGACGACAGCGAAGAAAGGAATTGTTTAACATTGCTAATTGAATATATAAATCACCGATGAACAATTGAAATGCGAATAAAATGTCAAAGTCTGAATTGCGAAGAGCTTTGTTAAGTGTTTCATACAAGAATGTTGGACGGGTATACCACCATATTACTCTATCTGGATTATAGTCACGTAGAAATTCTTCAAATACAGTGTACTCTGGAACATCACTCTTGTATATTTTTTTAAAATAATCTTCTAGATATTTTAAGGACTTTGACGCTACATCATTTGTTGCCCAATGTAAGAGAATTTTAATCAGTATATAAAAATACATAAATGAAGCATTTCTTGAATCCCGAGTTTGTCTTTGACTGTTATTATCAGATGCAGTCGAACGACTATAAATATTAAAAACTACTTTTTCATTGATACGCTGTCGATTGCGCTGATCTTTTGAAAAGGTTTCGATTAGTTTCTTTGAGTCAATGAATACACCTTTAATCTATAGAACGATACAAGAAAAAGAGAAATAATTGTAAATTCATTTTATAGTTTGGTGTTGTATAGCTCTTAAGTGCTAATCTACCTTTTGATAATCTTTTGACCATTTATCGTTCGATGACTTCTCTGACTCAGTACAGTGAATGTAAATTGCCGTTAATTGCTTAAATTCATGTACAATCGAGACCATTTGACTGTCATGTGCACCTGAGATTATAAGCAGAAATTTTTGATCCTGAATATCAGTCAGATAATCAACACATTGATCAAAATCGTCAAATACTTTGAGATTGCTGACGACTTCTCTTAACTTTCGCTGTGTAACAGTATTCTCTTCAAAAAGGTTGACGTTTGCAGTTTGGCAAAACCACACCAGTATATAAGATTCAGATTCTTCAGCTAAGTTTTGGAAACAACGTGGGATTGTAGATATTGTCGTGGTAGAGGTTGTTGATTTACTCGTCATTCTATACCTTTCACCAGCGCCTTTGAAAATAATCGTTCGTGATTTTGTTTAAATAAAAAAAACCATGAAAAGAAATGAGACTGTGTCATTGTTCTTATTTCTCTTCCGCTGAGTTAACAATATACTACTTCCTTTTCTTTCTGTTTGCTTTACTACGGTGTAATAGACATTCTATACCATTACATTTTAAAAGTTATTTTTCGTTTTTTTTAAAATTATGCAGTATTTTATTCGTGACATCCAAATTTTTTTTGTGATTTTTAGTACAACCTTTGAGGATGCTTACGAAATTTTTTTTTTCGTTTCTGTCACCATTGTTACAGCTTTTTTATTGGAGAAAGAGAACACACATTTTTTTATCGTTCATTTCTACGCAGAAGTGTACCTCAAAATAAGATCAACATCGATTGTTATGATCCGTGTTACAGACACTGAATAATACGATGATAGTTATATCTCTTTTCTTTGTTCTCCTTCCCTTCTCTTCTCTTTTTTCTTCCACTTTTCTGTTTTTATTCTTTTTTTAATGTTTAATCGCCCTTATATATACACAAAGGACGTCAAATTTTCTGCTAGAATGTGTATTAGTATACTCGACGTGTGTATTTTCTTTAACAAGAAAATAAATAAAATAAACTTCAACGTCAAACTTTAACATAAATGAGTTCCCTAAAATCTACTGTTCGTGGTCAGCATTTGTCCACAATACATAAGCTCTTGTTTATCATCGTTAGAAAGCATAACCTGTCGATTTTGTGTTAAAAATCCCAAAGTTAAAATTCATTGTGCTCTTTTGCCAACGTACTTTCCAGCAACGACCGCAATGCAAACAAGCCGTAGAGAAAAAAATAAGGAGGAAATTTTTTCACCAAGAGGAAGTCTTTTTGTTTGTTCTGTGATGACAAAAACAAGCATTAATTAACAGTTGGAAAAAACCAACGTAGCAGTGTATTGAAGAAGCGAAGCGATGCCGTCGTCATTCTTCAAAATTTTTAAAAAGAAATAGTGCACTTAACTTGTGAGATATGTTAAGAGTGTGGGTGTGGGTGTGGGGGTGTGGGTGTGGGTGGGTGTGGGTGGGTGTGGGTATGGGGTGTGGGTGTGGGGTGTGGGTGTGGGTGTGAATGTGTGGGTGTAGATATGGGTGTGAATCTTCTTTTCTTTCATAACCTCATCCACACCCCACACCCACACCCACACCCTTTCCTTATGAACTATTGAAGAATATTGTCGATATAACATGAGCATTTGACAATCTTTTCCTCTGTATGGCTGTTTCTTATTCGAAAGCAAACAATTGACTTTCTGTGCTAATAGAGGAGGGTATATTAGGAGTTAGCATATATGAGTGATTACAGGGTCTATAGTGACAATTTTTTTCAAACAATATCAAAGTACTTAAAAAAATGTGATTAGTAAATAGATCATACTTTATAGTATAAGAAAAACTATCTTCAGAAAAGAACATGTTTTTCTTATTTACGATTAAAAATTAGAACTAGAGTAGACAAGTGATTGCCTATTCAATGCGTTATTTGAGCGTAACATACATAAGTAGATAGCGAAAATACGTTCTAGCTATTATATACTTCATGAAAACCAATTAATTCTTGAGACTTATATTTAGTTCATTTAGCACCAGCTTCTAATGTTCAAGTTCACATTTGGCTTGAACAACAAAATCGTTTCAATCCGGACCAACCAATGATAACAATCTACAATATGCCTTTCCTTTTTTTCTCTGCTCAGAACATACTTTATCAATTCAGCAACTTAGACAAGCTCTTCAACTGTTTGTTAAGAAACATCAATCACTTCGAACATCACTTATGTTCGATACAGAAAAGAATCAACTCATGCAACGAGTTATTAACTTCACTGATAATAACAATCGGTTGTTTGAATTTATTGAAAGTACTTTCGAAACGGATGAACAACTCAAGAAGACTATGTATGATGACAAACGAAATTTCCAATTATTCGATCTTGATCATGGTTCTGTGTTTCAGTGCCATATTCTTCATCACACACAAATCTCTTCAATCGATCATCTTTGTGATAAAGATGCAATTATTTTCAATTTTCATCATGCTTGCTTTGACTTTTCATCAGACAATATATTTCTTCAGGATCTTAATCAAGCTTATACCACAGATCAACTAACGACTGACAACAACTCTCTTCTGAATTATCTAGATTGTGAATAACAATAATTCTTACTTTCTATTCAGATCACTTTTTCTTCTTATCTAGATGCCGCCGTAGAACGAAAAATACCAATGACTTCTGCAAGTATGTTTTGGCAAGATACTCTCCGAGATTGTAAAATCGATCATTCGTTATCATTACCATTTGATCGATATCGTATTTCTGATAAACACCGAACTAGTCGTGGAATATCTGTCAGTTTCGATTTTTGTGAAGATATTTCGAAATCACTTGTCACTTATTCATCGTTGAATGATGTCACACTTCAACAACTCGCACTTGCAAGTTATTATGCATTCTTATTCAAATTGACTAATGGAGAAAGTGATTTATGTATTGAAATAAATACAGATGGAAGATATACAAAATAATTGATGTCAGTGATTGGAATGTTCGTTAATACTATTCCTTTACGATGTCAACTAGATCCTCATTAGTCTTTTCATCAACTACTTGAGCATGTTCAAGAGATCACAACAATTAGTTTGGAGTACTCATATTTTCTTCTCCAACGAATTTTGATTCAATATCCAAATGCCAGAAAACCTGCATTTCTTGATACATCATTTACTTTTCAATCTTATACTTTTGAAAGCGATGAAAATGAAGTGACCATTGGAGATGTACGACTTATTGCTGCGCATATTTCAATTAAGATCGGTGATGATGTAATAATGTGCAACTCTGATTTCATCGTTACTGTTCAACTTTTTCTGAATATATCAATCGACTGTCATGCACAATCTCTGCATCAGTTGACTTGTTTGATAGAATAACAGTGGATAAGATGGCTCAAAGATTTCATTCAATGTTAGAACAACTGTTTCATGTAAAAGAAGTTCAGATTAACAAGTAAATTTATGAATTATTCATAATATTACCAGATGAGAGATTACTTATGAAATCAATGAACAATACACAAGTATTATTTTCTCCGGCGACTTGTATACATCATGAGTTTACTCATCAAGTGATGGAACATCCTCAAAAAGTAGCAATTGAGTTGGATGATCAATCTCTTACATATTCTGAACTTTTATATTATGTTCAAGTATTATCTTTGAATCTTTTGAATAAAAAAAATTAATGTAGGTGATCTTGTTTACCAATGTGTAGAGAGAAGTTTATCAATGGTGAGTAAACCGAAGACAATTATCCAACAGAATAAAATATTATTATTTACTAGATGATTGACATGATGGCAATTGGGATGGTCGGTGGAATTTATTGTCCATTATCAGTTCGAGATTCACAACATCGTTTGAGTGTACTGATAGAACAAATTCGAAGTCATCTTGTTCTTGTTCATCCCATCACACAAACTAACTTCAAAGATAATATTATCTCGCTTGATATTGATTCAATTGTGATTGATCACGAACGAGAAAGCGATGCTGATGTTAATCAACTAACAAGCACTAGAGTAACACCAGAGAATATGGCTTATTTTATTTTCGCCAGTGGTGTAACCGGCACACCAAAAGCAGTTGGCTCTCGATATCATAGTCGATCAAAATTGTATGACTATTGTATTTGTTGCAAGTTCAAGCTCGACATCGAAACTTCAGTGAATCTATCCGCTCTTTGACTTCTGTTAATACATTCAATGAGAACGATACAATTGTGCAAATGGCATGTTGCTCAATCAATATTCATGTGGAAGATATAATGGGAACACTGATGGTTGATGCGACAATAGTGATGCCTTATCCAAGAGGAACTATTAATTTTGAATATCTTATCACAGTGCTTGAATAGAAACAAATTTCATATATAAACAGGCCTACGTGTTTAGGTGAAGTTTTTCTTGTAAAACTGGTCTCTTTAATTCAAAGTATGGTATCGCAAACATGTCATATATGGAATTTATATGGGCCAGCCGCAACGACTATTGATTGTACATTTCACCTTGTTCATATTACAGCCGATACAGACAATATTTCGATCGAACGCATCTTGCTTCATCATCGATGTTTGATTTTGGGCAGTTTTTTACAATCTGTTGTCATCCCGCAAGGAGGCGAATTATATGTCGGAGGTGCAGGTATCTTTGCTGGTTACTATGGACGTGATGACTTGACAACAAGAGCAAATCCTCGAGATAGAAGATGAAATATTTTATCGAACAGGTGATCTGGTTAGATCGGATAATAATGGTCTCTTTCATTATAAAGGAAGAAAAGATCATCAAGTAAAGCTGCATGGACAACGTATTGAACTTGGAGAAATCGAATGATGTTTACTTGATACATCAATCTCTGCTTGTGTTGTTATCAAATGGGATGAGGATCATTTGGTTGCTTATGTTGAAGGCTCTGATAGCGACGTAGAACGATTACACCAGCATTGTCAATCTCATCTTCCACTACTTATGATTCCATCAGTATTCGTTCTACTGGAGAAATTACTCTTGAATGAAAATGGAAAAATAGATCGAAAACTTCTTCCAATGCCTGACTTTTCGCCGTTGTCGAATATCAACCACATTGATTTAATGTCATTAACATCCTTGGAAGTACATCTACAGCACATATTTAGTGAGACATGTCACTGTAAGTTACCCAGCGTGATTACGCCGTTCGGACAATTGGAAGGTACATCACTCGATGCTCTACGGGCGCTAGTGCTTATTCGACAGGAAATATGTACAAAGGTTGATGCTAGTCTCTTATTTGCCAATCCATCAATTCGACAATTTGCACGAATCATTGAACCATTGCTGATCGTATATGATGATTCGTCTGTCAAAACTACTGCTTTGAAATTAGAAGAAGATCAAGATCGACCAATACCATCCTTGTGTATCGAATTCTTAGACATTATATTACTCATATGTCAGTGGCTTTGTCCCAAAGGGCTATTCTTTCAGTCTAACTCGCTGATCACTCTTCTTTTCGTGCCTCTGTTTCATCTTTTTTCGTATGTAATTTGTCAGCGTTTGCTGTTTCGTTCGGGAGAAATTACAAACCAAGCAGCACAACTATATTCGTGACATTATTATGTATATCATTTTATAATTCTTATCTTCGATTATGTGGTGCCAAAATTGGATGTCATACGTACATTTACACTACAGTGATCGATGCTCCTTGGTTGCTTGAAGTTGGAGATTCATCATTTATTGGCGAAGGAGTTATACTTTCAAACTGATTGTATCAAGATAAAACCTATCAACTTCATCCAATACACATTGAATCATACTGTTCCATTAACACACATTGTGTACTCTATGACGATGTGATTATAGAAAATTATGCTTAAGTAAAACCAATGTCTGCTTTCACTGGAGTCATTACAACATCAAATGACCAGAGATTTATCGAAGATCGATCGTTATTATTGACAAAAACTATGCTTCAATTTGCTTGCTTACTATGTCTATTCTTTATTCATAGCTTAGTTTTGCTCTTAGCCTATGGCGTCCATTTTTACTGTTCGATTTTACCACTACCATTAATTCATTGTAGGATTTGCCACATCAGGATACTATCCAATCAGTTCTTACTATTACTTACACAAAGTGTGGTTATGTCAATTGATTATAACATCATTTCATTACGTATTAGATTTCTTATCACCATACGATGTCCTTTTATCGTTAATTTTACGATGGTTAGGTGCTCATGTCGAAGATGATGTCAAATTCGCTGAATTTCAACAAATATTACGTTTTCCATCAAATCTTCTTAACATCGAACGTGGTGTGACAACGTTTGGTGAAGCTAATCTTGCTCCATTGAAATTAACAAAAGAAGGACTTTGTTGTCTTGATGAAATACATCTTGGCTCACATACTAATCTTGGTAATTGGTGTACAATTATGCCAGCAACAAGGCTTCCTCCCAAAGTAATTGTTGGAAGTCTTACATTGATTACACGAAAAACAGCTAGTACAGAAAATAATTGTATATTACTCGGTATTCCAGCTCATCAAATACCTTTTGTAACATCGGATGATACATCTATCGTAAATGATTTATCATATTCGAACTTCATATCTATCTATACACTATTGTTCACCTGTCTTAGTTTTTCTATAAGCAAGTGTCTATTCATCATTTTATATTTATCATTATCAGTCGCTGCTGCATTATTTATCCATGCAATAATCTACTGTGCAATCTATCATTATTTAATCTTGTTTACCAAAAGACGCTCAGACTTCACATATTCAGAGGTTATTACGCACCAAAAACACTTTTTCTCTTGATTTATGAAAGATTTTTCTGCGTTTGTCGGACCATATCTATCAGGAACACAATTTCTTGTTTTTCTTTTTCGTATGCTTAGTGCTCACATTGGATCCGATGTTATTTTGCCTGATATTAGTTGTATCACTGATCCTCATCTTGTAAACATTGTATTTCTATTATATTTTGTTCATGTTATCCTTTCTATT